GTAGATATGTATTTTTTAGGGCTTGTTTGCAATCAATTAAAAAAGTGATTTTGGCTTTCTTTTAAGAAAAAAACACTTATTTTACCAAACACTATCAACTTTTACTTGCTCGGTTTTCGTGTAGAATCTACTTTTTACTTTTTCTATTACACAAAAAGCACTTATTTTACCAAACACTACCAACTTTTACTACTAATCACTTTTTCCCAAAAAGTGTTTTTATTTAAGCACAAGTGGTTGCAAACAGAGCCTTAATATGGTTATAACCTTAAAGTTAGGCACCAATTTAAAGTATTTGATTAAAGTTTAAAAGAAGTATCTAATAATTCTAACATAGAGCTGAAAGTATAAGTTTCACCGTCTTATTTTGTTGATAAGCAAAATGGCCCAGAATTGGCTATTCCAATAATTTCTGTTCCTCACTAAGACATACATATTCTGATATTCTTTCAAAATGTTGTTTAAAACTGAATATCCTGTACAATATTTTGTAGCAGTTTCTTCTGGTTTAACTGAAAACATTTATATGAAGTAATTCTTTTAATATATGCTATAACATTACAAATGTTTGGTAACATAAATATTAACAATATATCTTTAGTAAAAAAATATCCTTACATAGAAATATAAGGATATGAATACAACAGTAAAATGTAAAAACGAATAACAGCTAATTCGAAATATTTGATCTAATGTGTTGTGTACCTGGAAATTTTGCTGTAGTCCGCTTGTTTTCAATGGTTACTGACTTGATTCTCTGATGGTATTTTCTTGGATTACCACCCCCTTATGCTTGTTAACTTAGAAGTGTTTATTCCTCCTTGATAATTGATTGCAGACAATTCCAATGGTGTTCAGCCGGTTGGAAGTCCCAAATTATCATTGTATATAACAACAAATTAGAAGTATCAATTACTCGCTAATATCAAATAAAAATATTAAAAATTACTAATTTGAGAAAGGAAGTACATACTCGTATGAGATAGATGTTGTAAATCTAATGTTGTGAGTTTGTGCTTGTGCAGAGGTTGGTTGGTGATACGTGAAAGTTCTGTCCAGGAAATGGATAAGTAACTTGAAAAAATCATTTGACGACCTTCCCGATTGAATTTTTTGCTCAAATTTGGTATGGATGAACCAAACTTGATGAGGAACATACACAAAAAATTTGAGCAAAAAATACCACCGGGAAGGCCCCAAATGGAGAAGGCCCTCCTGTCTCTCTCTCTATATATATTCTATATATATATATATATATATATATATATTTATATATATATATATAGAGAGAGAGAGAGGGGGAGAGAGAGATGTTCCTGTTTATAATTTCCTGAAAGGAGCGTCGTCTGGCCTCCGCCTTTTGGGGTGGTTCCTGGTGCTATATTTCGCTAAAAAAATTGTGCATGTTTTTCGTTTACCTATACCAAATTTCAGCTAAAAATTCAATCGGGAAGACAATCAAATGATTTTTGTAAGTAAATTCCGCCATTTATATACAATATGCAACACTTTGAACTTCAATATGCAATACAAGTAATGTAAAGATGCACAGTTTGTGACAGTTTGTACGTTAGCATGGAAGAACTAGTTTGTATGTGACCCCCACACGCACACACGCACGCACGCGCGCACACACACACACATAGAGGAATGTTCATGTCCGAACATTCCCCGTCTGAACACCGCCAGAACATGGACGTTTGGGCCACTTCCCGGTGAAATTTTTTGATGAAATTTTGTGAGCATGTTCCTCATCAAGTCTAGTTTGTCCATACCAAATTCCAGCTAAAAATGCGATCGGGAAGGCATTGAAATCATTTTTTGAAGTTGACTGCGTCAAAATATACATATAAAAACGCAGTCAACTTCAAAAAATAATTTTGAATGCCTTCCCGATCGAATGTTGAGCTGAAATTTGGTATGGATAAACATGCTCAAAAAATTTCATTAAAAAATTCGACCAAGAAGAACCCTAAACGAGGATGTTCGGACGGAGGCTCCTGTCTGAACGTTCGGACCTGATCATTCTTGTCTATATATATATATATATATATATATATATATATATATATATATAGAGGAATGATCCTGTCCAGCCGGAGGGACAGGATCTTCCGTCCGGCCGCCGCCTTTTGGGGCGGTTCCCGGTGGAGTTTTTTGATGAAATTTTTATGGAATGTTCCTCATCAAGTCTAGTTTATCCACAAAAAATTTCAGCTAAAAATTCGATCGGGAAGGTAGTCAAATAAGTTTTTGAAGATAACTGCTCCAACTTAAACATATAAAACGCAGTTATGTTTCAAAAAATTATTTGACTGCCTTCCCAATCGAATTTTTAGCTGAAATTTTTTGTGGATAAACTAGACTTGATGAGGAACATTCTATAAAAATTTCATCAAAAAACTCCACCGGGAACCGCCCTAAACGGCGGCGGCCGGACGGAGGATCCTGTCCCTCCGGCTGGACAGGATCTTTTCCGTATATATATATATATATATATATGAGGACTGCTCAGGTCCCTCCGGAGGGACGGGAGGGGCCGTCCAAACTTTACTGTTTGGGGCGGTTCCCAGTGGAATTTTTTGATGAAATTTTTTGAGCATGTTCCTCATAAAGTCTAGTTTGTCCATACCAAATTTCAGCTCAAAATTCGACCGGGAAGGCAGTCAAATAAATTCTTGAAACTTACTGCACTTTATATATGCGCAGAATGTGCAGTAAGCTTCAAGAATTTATTTGAATGCCTTCCCGGTCGAATTTTGAGCTGAAATTTGGTATGGACAAACTACACTTGATGAGGAACATGCTCAAAAAATTTCATCAAAAAATTCCACCGGGAACCGCCCCAAACAGTAAAGTTCGGACGGTCCCTCCCGTCCCTCCGGAGGGACCTGATCTTTTCTGTGTATATATATATGTATATATATATATATATATATATATATATATAGGCCTGGTCCTGATATTTTGAAGACCCGGGACATTTTACAAAAACGGGCCCTTTAATTGTAAAGGTGAAAAATAAATTTAATTATAAAAGCAAAGTTCATTACATAAAACTTGGTACATCGTAGTTCATACCAAAAAAAATTACAAAAAACAATTATATCCGGCCTTCTTAGATGCAAAAATAGTCAAGGTCAATTTTTCAGCATCTCGTTCTCAATACATATAAGTTCCAAACCAATCAATATTATGTTCACTCAATTCACCCATATTCTACCCATATTCTCATTTATCAGTAGTTCCTTTTGACAAACTTTTCAGTAGTTCCTTTTGAGAATTTATTCAACTAATTTTCTTTTTCTCCTTTATTCACTTACAGAAAAATGTTTTTTTGGAAGCATTGTAGATGAAGACTAGTTACTTCACCCGTGCGTTGCACGGGATTGAAATACTTAAATAATAATTAAGATGCAATATGTGAAAACTAAAATATCTACTTCTTTTTATATTTATCTTTTTTATCATAGCTAGCTTACCTTTTTATGTTTCTTTCTTTTCCTTTTGGTGGTAAGAAGATAATGCTTTGATTCATGTTATCTGACCTCCATTATTTTTTGCGACTAAGGCTTGGATGTTGTTGTAATGTGAAAATTAAAATATATAATTTTAAAATAATTCAATTACCGTAATCTTTAAATAAAATTTTAAATAAGATATTATTATAATATTCTCTCTACCCCATTGGACTTTGCTACATTTCTTTTTTTGTTTGTCCCAAAAACAACTTTGTCTCTTTCTTTTTAAAGTAATGAAATTTGTGACTCAGTTCATCTATCTCTCCTCTGCACAAAACTCAATCACACGGTTTTTATTATTTTAATGTTCCACCCAACATCAACTTGACAAAGTTGAGTGAGATGGAGATAATAGCAATTTGAGAAATAAAATAAGTGGTACAAATCAAAAGTTATATATCATCCAATGACATAGGTGTGCATGTAAGCTCGTGGAACAAACAATAAAAGATGCTACATGATACAAACTTCTATGTATACAATATTCAAGACAAACGTGGCTGTTTGTCTTGTCTAAGTATATCACATATGAAGAATTTCAATTCAGATTAACTTGTTACTCTCAGCCTCTCAGGATCTAGCGATGGCAACAGGCGGATCGGGAACATTTATGCATATAACCGTGTCCGTCTCGTTGGATAATTTCTCCACCTCGTAATCACCTAATTGCCCAATGAGTAATTTGTATTTGAACCATGATCGTCCCAATGGGTATAACCGCGAGTAATCGTTGTATTTAGTCATGGACCCGGGCCGGGCCGGTTCCGGTTCCGGGCCGGGCCCGGCCGGGCTTTTTTTTTTGGAAGGAAGGCCCGGGACCGGCCCGGGTAGCCACCGGGTCCGGTCCGGGTCCGGTCCGGGTCCGGGCCGGGCCGGGCCGGGCCTCCGGTTCGGTTATAATTTTTTTTTTTTTTTTGCTTTCCTAACCCCCCCACTCACCCCCACACCCCCCCAAACCCCCAAACCCCTCCTAACCATCAAGCCCAACTTGGCTAACCCCAAAAAAAGAAAAATAAATTAAAAAAAAATCAATTCGGCCCGGGCCTGGGCCCGACCCGGCCGGGCCGGTTCGCCAAATTCAAGGCCCGAGCCCGGACCCGGCCACCCCACCGGGCCTAGGCCCGACCCGGACCCGGACCCGAGAACCGGGCCGGTTCCGGGCTCGCACAGTGGCGGGCCGGGCCGGTCCCGGGCCGGGCGGCCCGAACCGGGTCCATGCCTAGTTGTATTAAATGAATCATTGATATTTTATTATAAAACCAGTTTTTTTTACTCCGGCGGGGGGTCTGGCCGTCTGGGGAAGGCCACTTAAGATAACCATTGTAAGATATATTGTTTAAATTCTTCTTAGTCAAATGATACAAAAATATCATAACAAATAAAAAACGGGGGTGGGGGGGGGGCGGGGGGGGGCAGCCCAATGCGCGTTGGCACCCCCCGCATGGCGAGGCTCCGGGGAAAGTTTAGATGTTGATCAAATGCCTACATTAAAGATGGATGTAAATAATACTATTATGATTAATATCATATTCATAATGTCTGTAAGAAAACCAACTACATATTATTTAGAATATCAAACTCCAAATCCTTGATTACATAAGTAGGACGAATATGAAACCAAAATTGACAATTAGACGTAAACGGCAACTCTAGGTAAGCAATGAACAACCCGATTCTGATCGACCTGCGTGAGAAAACTTGATGCTATTCATATTAGCAATCATAAATTTAATATCTTTCGCAACCAAATCAAAACCCGAAAGATCCTTCCCCTCCTGGATCTCATTGATCACCTGAGCCGCATCAGACTACATCCAGATTTCTCCAACCCAAGGACAACAACCATACCAAAGCTTCACGAACCCCCAACATCTCCGGTTCCCTCGCTGTCAGCCTGCTATTAAACGGCTTGGCTCCTGCTGCCACAAAATCCCCGATCGAGTCACGGATAACCCAGCCAAGCCCACACCGTTCCCTCCCAAGTGCAACATCAGCATTCCGCTTCAAGCAGCTACCAACTGGTCAGATCCAGCGCCCCCTGTCCGGAAAGATAGACCAACCCAATCCCCAATCTGCTGCCAGCTTCTTCCCTGCACCCTTACTGCCACTTGAAGACCCGCATTGGGTAGTTGAGCTGCTTTCCAAGATTCCGGGAAACCAAAAGCCTTTGCTGCCACATTAACTTCCTCTCCAGTCTTCTTGAGCCTCAGTTCCACACCCGTGAATTCCGTTCCTGCCAAATACTCCAACACAAGAGAATGAATAACTATGCACCATGTCTCCTTATTGCGAGTATCAAAGACAGAGTGCAGCCATACCAGTAGGCTTTCCACCCCGCTTGTAGGCACTTCCTGACCCACTTGATTCCAAATTTTCCTAGCTTTCGGGCAGTACACAAATAGATGCAGCAGCGTTTCCTCCTCCCTTTCACAGCCCACACTCGCTCAGACAGTCCACCATTCATCTCCGAAGTTCTGTTCTAACTGCCAAAAAAAGGATTTCACCTTTGGAGGAAGCTCCAACTTCCAAAGTGATGTCCAACCCAAGTTACCCAACCAGCCTTCACCCGATTGCTCTCCCACTATCCTTCGATAGCAGCTTTTAACAGAGAATTGCCCCTTCTCGCCCCACCTCCAGCAGAAACAACTGTCTGGTATTTTGCTTTTGCTTAATAAAATACCCTGAGCCAGCAGTCTATCGTCCAGCACGTCATTCAGAATATCCTCATCCGGGGATCCGTCTTCCATCTTTAGAAGGCCTGACACAGTAGCCTGCTCCAACCCTGACCCACTCTTTGTTACCACCCTCGGATTCTCTGCATTAGGCAACCATGGATCCTCCCAGATGTTAATTGGTTGTCCATCCCCTATCCTCCAACAATAACCTTCTTGAATCAACATCTCAGTTTCAAATATACTATGCCACACAATAACATTATGAATAACATTATATTCATAATGTTAATGCATGAAAAATACATAAAAGAAGGAAAGTAAATGATACTAATATATACTCCCTCCGTCCCATTTATATTGTCCCATTTTACCTTTTCGGGAAGTCCCACTTAAATTGTCTCATACCATATTTGGCAAAGTTTGTGTGGCTCTAAATTATTCTTACTTTATTCTTACTTTATCAATTAATATCAACCACACAAACTCACTTTTCTTAATAACCGTGCCACCCTCTTCCGGGACAATATAAATGGGACGGAGGTAGTATATGAGTGTTGTCACTCTAGATAAGAGTGCAGTTGTGATCTTCCAATATTCTCAAGTTTCACATGTCTTAATGTATAACGTATAAGTATGAAAAAATTAAGCTTATATGTGTGTAAAATCAATAACCTTAACATATAAACCCAAGTGCTTTATGGTGAGCTGGAATATTGATGAGTAATTTTATTCATTTGAATATTCATTTCTAATACACAAACCAGTTTTATAGTGAAAATTTAGCTCTAAACAATCATATTACTGTTTTTCTCCAAACGCTCATTGTTCTAAGAGTGTAAGAATGTATATGGATATATATATATATATATATATATATATATATATATGTCTCATTCCTAAGAATGTTGAACAAACTACTACTGCTTGTCATTTCATGAGTGAAACTTAATATACATTAGCCTAAGAGAAGAAATTAAGAAGTAATTTCTAACTGAGAAGGAAATTAGGAAAAGGTTGCAATTTTAATTTATTAACCATTATGGTGGTTAAAGATTTCACCTTAGAAACTGAACAGTTGAAAAAATAATAAGTTGAATGATTTAAAAAAACTGAGCAAGCTATATACTACAGGTCTTCATTGGGTTTCCCACTAACGTTGTGATAATCCATCACACACCATATCATATTTCTTTGCTCAGGCCACCAAATAAGGTTCATCACTTCTTTCAGTTAGACATTTCACCAAATCCATTAGACTTTGGAAAAAGTCCATAGAATAAAATATTATGCGTAGTAAAAGATTT